GGTTCCAGTCCTCTGATACGGAAGGATCATGGTGGGATTAGAGAAGAAACAGCAAAAGGGTCTTCTGCTACCAGTCATTGGCCCCAGAGAAGGCATTACCTAACCTGCCCATCTCCTCCCCTCCCCACTTCTGAGGACAGAGCCCCAATTCTGTTTTGTTTCCACAGCACAATAGAGGTAGGAGGAGCAGTTAGTGTTTCTTTAATCCAGCGCTATTCTGCTGGCTCCTGTACTGTTGTGTGCAGAGTATGACTTCTGGAATTCTTTCCAACATTTTTACCAGCAGCGGCCAATGGAGATTCTGGATTTTCTTCTGCGTAACTAAGTCACATATTGCACATCTATCTGTTTGTTTCTACTGTCCCCTTTTGTTGCATCTGTGTATGCATGCAATGGAAAACAAGGTGTGCTGCACACTGTAAGAGATTGTGCTGAGGCTAAAAAAGAGCGGTATCCGCAAGTGCAGCCAGCAGATGAAAAATGCTATTACTGAATTATCATATAAACACCTAGTCCGTCTTGCAAATATTCCAGGAAAAAGAGATTCCAAAGGTTTAAAGAGATGAACTCACTAATCAATGATGGCTGGAGAATTCCTATCTCATACTTCAAGGTTCTGTACTTTGTCTCCTCATTCTTGGCATTAAAACTTACATAGTGGAGAAAATAAATCTAACAAACAAAATGGAGGCTGCACCCTTTCTCCTCCATGTTTTTTGAACATGACCAGGGTCAAACCCAACTCTGCTGTTTGCCTAATCCTATCAGACCAAAACTGATCATCCCTGCCATCAGACAAAGCCCCCTATGATCCCATCTAAACTAAAAAATAGAAGCCTCTTCACTAGCTCACAGTACAACCCAAGGGCAGCCCCAACAAAGGTATTGCAACATAGACACCCTAATCTTCCTGATTACCCTCAATCAGCCTGATCTCAACATCCCATCTCCTTTAATAATGAACTTCTGCTCCTCTTCTGAAAGGACCACCTTGTCTAACAGGAGAAATAATCCCAGGTACACTGACAAGGACCTGCCTAGCTTCCCCAAAACTGGCCAACAACCCAGATTTATTTATTTATTTATTTATTTATATTTCAAATTCAAATTTAGATACCACACATCTCACAAAAAGATCGTGGATTTCCAGCCTTGTAGCCAACTTCTATATAAAAAAAATTGTTTTTCCATTGTTTGGGGTCCCTCTTTCTTGTAAAACAGGCACCCAACAATCACTGCAATAAACATGGTTCTTCTCCTCAGTGCTGTGCTCCATACTTCTGAACTTTCCACTGCACTTATTAAAGAGAGTTTGTGCTAATCTTTCTTCTTTATGTTCTGCAGTTAAGCTCTCAAAACATATGCTTTGTTCTGGGTGAGGTGATCAAGAGGGGAGAGGGCCATTCAATGGAGCAGTTGACAACATTTGGAGCTGCTGCCCAGGACTTCTCATGTAAGGGTTGCCTTGGATAAATTTTTGAGGAATGCTTTTCTCTGCAGGCCTCAGCCTAGTCCATTTTCAAACTCAGTCTTCTTTGGCTGACTTCTTCCCCATACGCACACCAATTTAACCTGTTCTTCTGCTCACTTTTTAGAATTATTCTATTATTTTTTTTTAAAAAAAAAGAACAACCACTTTACTGTTATTTTTGTCATAGTTTTCATTTTATTTCCTCAGTAGTTAAGTCTTATTGAATTTTTTTAAAGAGGATCAATGGCAACCTACCCCCCTCCAGGCAAACTGCACTACATATCCTATCACTCAGCCCAACTAAACAGGGATTATTATGGGAGTTGTAATTCAACATGTCTAGAGCGTGCCAGGTTGGAAAAGACTGATGGATGTAAAAGTGCAGGGTGGCTCAAGGCTCCACCCTCTGCCCACTTCTTTATAACATCTACATGAAGCCACTGGGAGAGGTCATTTGCCAGCATGAAGTGTGGAATCATCACTACACTAATATTCAGTTGCATCTCTCTGTCTCTGGCTGAGCAAGTGAGGCTGTTGAGGTTCTGTCCCAGTATCTGGAGGCTGTGGGGGTCTGAATGGGGAAGAACATGCTGCAGTTCAACTCTGCCAAGACTGAGTGCCTTTTGGGTTTTGGGTCCCCTGGAAGTCGGAACTGAAGATTTTCCATCTTTGGTTCTGGACAGATTGCACTCCCCCACTCAGACCTAATGCATAATATGGTTCTCCTGAACTTTCAGCTCCTGCTGACAGAGCAGGTGGCAGCTGTGGCCAGGATGGCCTTTGTACAACTTTTTCTTGTGCCTGTTTTTGGATCAGGAGGCCCTGTCACTCATGCCCTAGTCGCTGCACTACTGCCACATGCTCTACATGGGGGTGCCCTTGAAGACCATCTGGAAGCTACAACTGGTCCAGATTGCAGCAGTGGAGGTAGTTATAGGCACACCTTGATACATCGATATAGCACCACTACTCTGTGAGCTGCATTATCTTCCTATAGGCTTCAGCAAGGTGCTTGTTGTCACCTATAAAGGCCTACATGGCAGGATTTCCTCTACCGAATTATATCTGCCCATTCCATATGATCCAAAAAGGTGGGCATGCTTCAGGTCCCTCCCCTAAAACAATCCCATCTGATGGGACCCAGAAGGCATGCCTTTTCCATTGTGGTCCCTGCCCTCTGGAACAGTCTCCTCCCTGACATATGGTTGGTCCAAATCCTTCAGAAAAAAACAGTAAAAATTAAATTGGAAATGAAATCACAATTTTTTTTACTAGGCATAATTCCAGAACATATTAACAAGAAACATCATAATGTACTGACATACATGCTCACAGCTGCAAGAATAAACTTTGCCCAACACTGGAAGAAAGATACAACATCAATGATATCGTGTTGGAACTTAAACTTTGAGAGTACGCAGCAATGGAAAACTGACAGCATTGATTGGAACAGTATTCCACAACAGAACTTTAATCAAATTCAAGCAAGAATGGTTTCCATACACACAATACATCATGCAGCAAGGAAAACATAAACACAGATAAACACTGACAGTATGGTTTCTAAGGGGGTCTAAAATGTTTATAAATACAGCAAATTGGTATAAAGAAGGAGGAAGTTAGAAATCTAATATTATCTACCTTTCCAAGGAGCTCCTTTTTTTTCTTTTTAATATTTATAAACAATACAGCGGAGACCTTAGTATTAAGCATTAAGTTCAAAGACAGAAACCTTTTTTTTAATATTATACAATAATTTAATGCATTTTGCAATTGTCTATCCATGCCATACTGAGCTTTAATTGTACAATTCAAGCAACCTTGTTTATCAACATTTTAGAAATTACTAACATTGATATAAACTTTTTTCTATCTTTAAAGGTTTAACTTATCTAAACTGTCATAGTGCTAACAATGTTTAGTTTACATTGCCTAAATACCACTCTACCTGACTAATATCTGCATTTTATAATGTATTATTCACATCTTGTAATGCAATAAAACAATTACTTGGGGAAAAAAGGAAAACAGTAAATACTTGGCTTTTCCTCAAGTCTTTGGGGCTGGGGTGATTGGAGTTCCCATCTGGAAGGGGGTATTTTATTTATTTATTCATTCATTCATTCAATTACATGGCTGCCCATCTCAAACAGATGACACCAGGTAGCTAACAGAGAATAAAAACAAGATAAAAACATCATAAAAAGTAATAAATAACACACGCAGGAGCTGAGATAAAACCAACAAACACTGTCAACATAACCAAGATATGGGCTCAGCCACACAACCCAGGTCCCAGAGTTGGTAACAAAACCCCAGGTTTTTAAGGTCTTATGGAAAGTCAATAAGGTCAAGGAAAGTCTAATCTCTGGGTGGATGACACTCCAAAGGGCTGGCACCTCAACAGAAAAGGCTTTCTTCTGGGAACCCACCAGATTGCACTCCCTAACAGACAGGACCCAGAGCATGCCTCTCTTGCTGGATCTCATAGGACAGGTAAATACAATTGGAAAGAGACCGTCCTGCAAGTAACCTGGCCGCATGCTATGAATGTTTCTGGTCGCTTACTACTGTCTTGGATTTTAACTGAACTGAATTTGCTTATGCTGTTTTGATTATGGTACACTGTATATTGCCCAGGGTTGCAATGTTCAAGTTGGGTGACCGTATAAATTCTTTACATAAATAGGTAAGCCATCGAGATCCCCACCCTAAGGGGAATTTCTCCAAATTTGGTATTACTGAAAAACACTGTAACATGGGGTTTGTGATATGAACCCCTCCCCCCCCCCCCCCCCCCCCGCCACCAGACACACACACAGAGTACATGCACTTTGACTCCCCCTTATGAATAAGTGTTGACTTGCCCGGGCAAAATGGGAGTGCTGTCAAAACTCACTCAAGGTATTTTTTGATTTACCCAGGTACAGTGGGAGTCCGTTTTGATAATGCTCCCATTTTGCCTGCAGAAATCCGATCACGTTGAGAAAACCTTTGTGACTCTCTCTAAACTGCTCCAAATTCCACCCACGCTCATCGCAATTGCCGACATATGTCAGAGAACATTAGGCTAAAGTACACTTGCAGAGTCTGTGCAATTATGACTTGTGTGAACCCAAGCGGTGGTTCAATACGTTGCAGGCCTATCGGCAGCTTAAACATTTGGATTCGGCCACCAAATTAAGCTGTGGGGATCGCTGCTCGTTTTTGTTATTTAAAAAAAAAAAATCGGAGAAGAGAAACAAAGGATGGAGACAGTCCTGATGTGTGTTGTGCAAACACAGTCACAGGATCGGGGTGCAATCCGACATGCTTTTCCTTGGTGAACTGAGGAGCTCGCAAATTCCTCCGCTCAGAGACGCCTTGTCGTCCGAGCTCTGCGCTTCACGGAACTTTCGCGCAAGCAAGAAAGCGGGAGCCCCGGGCCTCCATTTCATTCCGTTCTGTTGCTGCAATAGCTGCTGCTCCTGCAGCAGCATTCCACGCCCCCCATCCAGCAGCAGCAGCAGCAACCGCCCCACCACCCGCGACCCGGATGCGAAAGGCGCCGCCTTCCGGAGCACTCCCGGGGAGGGGAGCGGCGTGCAGAGATCGTGTTGCTTCTTCTTCCGCCCGGCTCGTGGTGGGATAAAGAGGGCGGCCTTGGGGTCGCACCATGGCGGTCCCAATGGAGACGCAGTTGCAAAGCATCTTCGAAGAGGTGGTGGTGAGTCTCGTCACCACCTTCACCACCAAACAATGGCCGCCGCCTGAAGGCC